AGTCTAGGACACTGTTTCTCAAACTTTCTACACTATCTCAGAAAATAGTAGACTCTCCAAGTACCACCATTATGTTCAAATACAGTAGTCAACCCTATTGAGCTGTAGATAGTTAACACAGTTCCTAATAAGAACATTTGAGTTTGGTGGATCTGCACTTATCTTCCTAATAGTTACTAACCATGATTGCAGTGTATTTGAAGCATTCATTTTTCCTCCGCTTACCATCTTACCATCTTACCATCACATTTTAGCCGGTGACTCATCATGGATGTATGTGTGCACTACATGCATGAATGTGACTACATAGCAGGCTCATATTGAAACAAATGCAAAACTTATTTTAAATTACATTTCCCAGATCTCATAGTTTAGTCAAGAAGTATTTTCATTCAAAATGTTGGAGTACTTTGGTTGCATTATGTTTTTTAATTAATTTCATGAAAAAAAACCACCAGTGGTACACATACTATAGTTTGAGAACCAGTTACCTAGAACAACCCTTACACATTACATGTGTCGTTTCATCTATTTTAAATATAGAAATATTGGTTAGTGCAGCTTAAAGTTGCATTATAGAATAGTCCGACTGTCTTGTGTCTGATTTTATTTTAGGTAAATGTTAAAAAAACTACACTTTCAACTGCAGTACTCCTCCTCAACCACAAGGTGGTAGAAGAGAATAAATGTTGATAGCCTTTCACCAACCACTGCCAGACAGTGAACTCTGATATCTTCTTTTTTTGGCAAAAGAAACACTCTCTTTAATGGACGAACAACTCAGTAAATATTACTGGAAACTTGTTGTAGTCTGTACAGTTATCTTTAAAGGTTGATGCTGGAGGCTTGACTCCAGGACTTCTGTCAGGATGAACGGGAGACTTAAATTCTTAACCTTGTTTGAGCAGCCATAAATGTTTAGCAACATTCATCAGACAGACTTGTAATCTGTCTCGTTTACACCTAATGACCACAGTTATCACCACATGACTCTCACATTAGCACACATTATGCCTTCTACACCTCAATATTAATGCCATAGTATCTGATAAAAAGTGGGTGTTTTATTAATATCCACAGGAAATATAATAATTTGTAAGATTTGTAATAACCATGGTACAGTACAACAGTCTCTTATTTTTTTAACATAGAAAAAGCAAGATGATATGCAACATGATGACATCACCCATTGCACTGCTGAGAATGTCCCAAGAAAAAAAGGCAAAAGACGCTGTCCAATCAGCAACAGGCAAATAGGCTAATGTTTGTTTTACAAAAAAACCTGTCATACATGTAATCCACTGACAGAAATTTGTCATTTGACCCAAAATGTCATGTACGGTCAAAACATGTATTCTTTTTTTGCTTGACATGGCTCACAGACATACGCCACTTTTGAAAAAGAAATCCCCCTGTCCAATTTCCAGGGGTTAGTGGATAATGCTTCCCTTGAAGTAAAAAAAATAAAAAATAAACAGTGAGAACATTATGTTTGTCATACAGGCCAACACACCAGTTCCAGCAGAGAGGTTTGGCAAAACATTGGCCAGAAGGACAACTGGTTTCACTTCGGTTCAGTTAAATTCCATTATTCAGTTTCTAGCAGCTGAATTTAAACCACAGCCCTTTTCTGTTCTCGGGTCCTGATGAGGAGAGAAAGGAAAACTCAAGGTGAGAGCGGGCTGGTACAAAAGTGGCACAGGAGAGTTTCATGGGTTTGATGCATGTTTTCAGGAGGGAGGAGGCGGGACGAGGGGGCATATATCCCATCGTCAGACAGAGCTGAGCTTTACCAGTCCTCTGACAGAGTCCTCGTGTAGTGAGTCCTGGCTGGCTGGGTTGTAGAAGCCGGCCTGCATGGTGTGGCTGTGTCCCAAGGGGCTGCCGCAGGGAAGCATACCTGGCGGTGAAGGCACTTCCTCTGGGGTAAGGAAGTGGTGGTGGGCCACTGGCTCCTGGAGGGCGTGGCTGTGGCTGTGGTTGTGTGCGAGGCTGTGTCCGTGGATTGGCAGCATGTCGGTGACCTCGTGGCAGCTGAGGCTGGGGGTGGACGTCGGAGGGGTGGGCTGGCCGAGGGGGAGCGAGGTGCACGGGCCGCCCAGGGTGAGGGAGGTGCGGCCAGTTAGAGTGCCTCCGTTTTCGGGGGAGGTCATCAGGATC